CTAGGTCAAAATCTGTGATTCTATGATTAGTCCAGTCAATGGAGGTACAGTTGGATATCTGTCATTTGTTTTTGTCTGCACCTGTGATTTCAAAAATGTAGGGAACTCTCAGTGTGGAAATGCTGCTCCGAATGCAGATCAGCAAGTCTTCTAGAATTTATAGTCATAGAGAATTGACCAGGACACTGAAAGGGTAAGTGACTAACTCATGGTCACAGTGTGAGAATGTTTCAGAAACAGGTTTGAATCTAGACTTAACTGAGCCAAAAGCTATAGCATAGATAACTAGACCATGTTGCCTCTCAATATGCTTGACATTTTGTAGACAAAATGATTGGTAAGTTGAAAGTGAAAAATTCAACACCATAATTGTTTGACCACCTCAGACAAAGCCTGAGATGTGCTCAATGCAGTTTTGATATTAATTTTAAAAAATGGAAGATGATGTGAAATTATAAATAATGAAATTTTAAAGATCATTTTAAATAATAGAAAAGAGAAATACACATTTTTCTTCTGGGATTAAAATTAAATATATACTTCCTATTGCCTAAATTTGCATTCCTTATTTTTACAATTTGGATGCTCTAAAAAGAGACAGACATCTCTTTAAGTAAAATTTGGTGAAAAAGAAGTGCTTTTGTCCATGCTCTCCATAGCAAGCGTATGATAATTATGACAGACCTCACTGCTGCACTGCACTAGAAAATGATTAAAAGCAAAGCAAAAGAACTGAGTGCTTTCTCTGTGGAAATTGGAAGTATATTAATGAGACTAATTGGTTCATTATAGTCAATTGTCTAGACTGATCTCCCAGTGTGGACTAAGATCAGAACTGAGTAGAAAATAATCTTTGATACTTTTTTTTTTGATAGAACAATATTGGAGGAGCTAGCTATGTGATAGAATTTTCTGGATAATGCTTGACACAGAATTTAAGGTTGAGAGGGGTTTTTTTATGCCCAACTTTATTTTTAATGGACAACTCAAATAGTCACACACAAGGATTTTCAATTTACAAAATGTTGGAAATGTAGTTTTAACTTTACCATAACATGGTGTAGAATGGAAAGAAAAATAGATTTGAAATCAGAAGACCTAGCTCTGCTGCTTCCTACCTGTGTGACCCTAAGGAAATTCCTTACATTCTCTAGCCCTCAGTTTCCTGTCCTGGAAACTGAAAGTCATGGACTGCATGACCTCTCCTATCTCAATCCTGTGTCACTATATCATATTTAATTCTGCAAAATGACTCTACAGAAAAACAAGGCCAAATAACTTTAAAATCTTATCTTTTCCCCTTTTTGGAAGCAGGTTCCCCTATTTCTTCAACACTGGTAAAGAACACTGAATTAGGGGCAGCTGGTAGCATAGTAGATAGAGCACTGGCCCTGAAGTCAGGAGGACCTGAGTTCAAATCCAGCCTCAGACCAAACACTTGACACTTGCTAGCTGTGTGACCCTGGGCAAGTCACTCAACCCCAATTGCCTAAAACAAAACAAGACAAAAAAAAACACTGAATTAGGAGGTTAAATAACAGAATTTAAGTCAAGTTCCAACTCTGCTGCTAGATATGTGACATTATCTTACCATATACAATTCTTATCCATGTTTTCTCCTAGTCCTCTGTAGCAGATCCATCCTTGTCCTTTCCTCTAGTTCTTTTAATATCTCAGTAGTACTTCCATGTTATAGTTAACATATAGTTAATAAGTAATTATTAAAAGCTGATACTTGGTTATTAAACACCCACATACACAATTGACACATCCCCAGGTATTCTGTACTTTTTGAATCCATGAAAATAGATAGGCTACTGACTTCTGAGAACATACCATATGTGCTAAGTAATTGTTTATGGCAGTTCTATGGATAAATAGGAGCCTAATTAGCTCGCTTCTCCATCACAAATAATGTCAAACCAGGAAAAATTTATGTCCACCTAAGAAAAAATAAATCTAAAACTACTTAATATTATTCCTCTCTCAGTTGCTTTTTTGTGATTAAAAATAGTTCATACCTGATTTTAGATTTTCATCTAGTTTTTACTTTACACATTTCTTGAAGCCGGCAACCCAGCAAATGTGGCCTTCCTTAAAAATTAAATTTTCAAAGTTATCTGCTGACTGAAAACTAAACTTAGTATGTGTGCATGACTATAATACTCTTTGTATAGCGAGAATTGTTTGAGCATATTTCACATCTAGTATCTTGGTGCTGTGAGGGGTGAAAAGGACCGAAAGATATGGTCCTTGATCTTGAGTGGAAGTGGTGTTGGAGCACATATGCATGGCACAACTAGAGAACAGGCACTCCCTAAGGATTAAAGTGCTATGTGAATGCCAGCTTTTATTGTAAATGTGTGCTAATGTACTTTACAATATTTTTACTTTTTTCAAAACATAATATGTAGAGAAGTGATCAGCATGGGACCCAGTAAATTACAGAAAGCTTTCCAAAGAGATAAATTTTTAGCCATATCTTGAAGAGAAAATGTATAGAATTGACATAGAGAAGGAAGTTGGGTGTTGAAGCAAGAGAACAGCATGAGTAAAGTTGACCAAGTGGGAACAAAGATGTGTACAGAGGAGAGGAAAGAGACTGAACTAGATAGAACAGAAAGAGACCATGCAGAGTAGAAACAAAAAATAAAGCTGGATTCACATAGGAATGGCAGTGGGAAAAGAGGATAACATTTGGAAATATTAACCTATAATCTGAAGGGTCTCATGAAAATGGCTATTTGATTATAAGCTTCTTAATGGCAGGGACTATGTCTAATTATATTTTGTAATACCCTCATTGCTTAACACAAGGCCTTGTGCATAGGTGCTTAATCTATATTGGTTCTATTAAATTTAACAAATAAGACCATTGTGTGAAAAAATAATTTGAAGTAGGGAGAGATATGAGTCACAAAAACTTATTTGGGGGGCAGCTAGGTGGCGCAGTGGATAGAGCACCAGCCTGGATTCAGGAGGACCTGAGTTCAAACCCAGCCTCAGACACATAACACTTACTAGCTGTGTGACCTTGGGTGAGTCACTTAACCCCATTGCCTAGGGCGCCCCCCCAAAAAACCAAGCAAAGTTATTCAGTGGAAATAAATGGGTTCATAAAATTGAGTTCAAATCTCAACTCTGCCTTTTATTAGGTGTGTCACCTTGGGCAGGTAATTTATCCTCTCTAAATCTCAGTTTTGTTATCTAGAGAAAGGGGATAATTGCCTTGGCTAGTTCACAGTTCTTTTTAAAGATCAAATTATATAATGTATGTAAATCACTTTGTAACTACAAATTTTACCTTGCTAGTAACATTGATATAATTTACAGAAACTGGAAGCCATGTATATAATAAAGAAGGTCTTACTGAAAGCAACATAGTTTAATAAAAAAGAATAATGTCCTAGGACTCAGGAGACATATAGTCTAGCTTCTGCTCTGCTGTTAGTTTTCTATGTGACCTTTAACATGTCACTGAACCCCTCTGGGCCTCAGGTCCTTCTTAAATGCTGTCATGGAAATGATAATAAAATTAAGATATTTAAAAGGTTTCTTGTAAAGATCAAGTAAGAAAATAGATGCAAAAATGTTTTGGAAAGTATAAAAGGCACATCTAAGTTATTATTGCTACAAACAATATATGTTGCTCTTCATCGAAGTTCTAGGAAACGTCAAAGTAATTAGACAAAAAGTGAAAAAATAAGACTATACATACATATATGATATTATATTCAGAAGCTTCCATCATGGAATTAGAATGGCTTAATTTTCAAAAAATTAGAATTATGTCATACTTAAAATAACACGCTATCATAAGACCCACTGTAGGACTATGCCACTCTAAAGTTCAAATACTTAGGAGAAAGGGATTTGTGTTTGATTCTGTCTGACATTTCAAAAATGTCTCTATGGCATGGACTCCAGTCTTATGTTTGAGATTTCAACATACAGTGGCTGATCTATTAAAAATGAAGGAAGAAAAAAACAAACAAACTAGATTTTAACACCTAGTATAGCAACTATGAAGTTACCACCATTTTTTCCCTTAATGCAGGTGGCTTAAGAATACCCAAACCAAGATACTTTGTTTTTCGTGTTGAAAATCAAGCTCAATTTCTATTCATCAAATTATTAGATACATATATGCATATATGTACATATATGTATGTGTATATATACATATATACACATACACATATATGCAAACACACACACACACACATATATATACTCTCTATAAGTGTGTATACACATACATATCCCATATATATAATATACATGTATATGTATATTCACCAAGTGGTAGAAATATGAGGGGGCTAGCTGTGACCCATTTCTATCATGGTTTAGTGTTTTTGTAATTTTATTAAGGAAAAAAAATTACCGCAGAGTTTTTAACCTCAATTTGCTAGAAATCAAGTGTTTATTATTTAAAATTAAGTACAAAAAAAGACTTTCTGGTTTTATGTGTATTTAAAATGCAGTGGAATAAAAAACCTTCTGGTGAGTCATAAACTATTTTTACAAAGCATCTGCCCAAATCATACATATACTGTATGTCCATATGCGTATTATATACATAACTAGGCACTTGTTTTAATTCCATTGAACAAATATTTATTGGACGCCTATTATATTCAAAGCATTGTCCTAGGGTTTTGTTTTTGTTTTGTTTTGTTTTTTATTTTGTTTTGTTTTGTTTTTGGTGGGGGAGGGCAGGGTGGCCAGTGTAGAGAATAAAGACTTTAGCTGTGCCCACAAAATAAACAGTTTTAGGGACAAGATGAAATTTTCAATGGGCCCCCTCATTTTGTTGAACCATTTTAAATATTATATGATGCATATGTAAAAGAGTAGCTTCATTCCACCTTCAGGTTAAAATTAAAAAAAAAAATCTTCCTCAGTTGCCAAGTTTACTAATTTACAACATTATACTGGATGATTTCTTGACATTACAGGTTTATACTTCTAATGATTTTTCCAATTTTCTTCCATAGAGGTCCTTCTGTAGTGCTATGGTAGAAGAGCTGAGGATGTCTCTGAAGTGTCAGCGCCGGTTAAAACACAAACCCCAGGCCCCTGTTATTGTGAAAACAGAAGAAGTTATCAACATGCACACATTTAACGACAGAAGGTTGCCAGGGAAAGAAACCATGGCATAAAGCTGGGAGACCCAAATGCCCAAGCACAAACTGTCGTCTTTTTTTTTTTTCCAAACAACTTTAGCGAGAATGTTTCCTGTGGAAATATGCAACCTGTGCAAAATAAAATGAGTTACCTCATGCCGCTGTGTCTATGAACTCAAGACTCTTATGATCTAAGCAGTTGCAATGGTCAGACTCGATTCACAAGCACCATGGATCAACTAAGTTCTGCGGGGTTACACTGTTTATCCTGGGTTCCACCATTCTTCTGAATGAATGTGATATACGAGGTTTGTGGCCAGTTTCAAATGCAGTCCAGTGAGATCACAGGTTCCCTTGGACGTTCATCAGTGGCCAGGAGATGGAGTATCTATGCTTAGTGGGGCAGTCATTCAAGGAGTCATTAAACAAATAAAAAAGACTTGGAATCAGCAAAATCTGTAGTGTAACAAGATACAATATGTTCTTCTGAACTTTCAGATATAGAGGTGGTGAGGTTACTGGCCCCCAACTGCACAGTATAATAATCATCTGAATAGACAATATGTGTTTATTGGATGTGAAAAAATATTGTAACACAAAGCAAATCTGAATTTCATAAAAGGAATATGAAGTGGACTTGTGTCTGCTTTGTGGACTGTCTGTGTCACTGACTGAAATAAAAATGTCGGTAACCAAGGCAATAATGATTTTCTTAAATTCACCAAGCCAGAAAATGTAATGTCAGACACCCCTTCCCCAGTAAAATGAAAAAAAAAATGAAAGCCAACAATCAAACAGTTGACCTAGTTTTCCTGAGTTAAAAAGGATGTATTTTGTAACCTTTCACTATTAAAGTGATCTTGTTTTAAATTGTGGAAAGGGGGAAATAGGGGTGGGGATTTGGTGGTCACATGGACTATTGAAGGCTCACATTTTAGCATCTCGTGGTTTCCAGACCTTTGTTCCTGCTGCAAATTGAACTCAATGGAGCCTGTGCAGTTCTCAACAATAGTGGAAATGAGATTAGTCACCTACAAGAAGTAAGCGGGAGAACTTTTACGTGGACTGCATTTATCAATACAGTCACAGTGTTAAAATGAACAAAATTCTTGAGCAGTTTTTTTTTCAAAAAAAAATGTTCAGGTTTATTTGTGGAAATGCAAGATTTCTATGAAAATAGTTTTTGTATGGAAATTTTTGTAATACTTTTTATCAACAAAAAAATAAGAACATGCGTTACCGTCAGGGGTGTGATGTCAAGCATGAATGGTAGTGCGTGTGCACCACCAACGTTTGGTGAAAACTATTTTTATCAAGAAAAGGAATCATAGAAGAGAAATATTTTCAAGTTAGATAATATAAAAGCTAGGTGCACTACCAACACTGCTTACCATGCTACACCCCTGGTTTCCACTAGGCTGATGACATACTGTAATGACCAATTGTGTGTAAATGGTAAAAGACACAGACCTCTTGACCACATTGTGATAACAGTTGAGTGCACACAGTTTGCTGTTTGAATCCAATGCACAAAATTAAAACAAAATCATTAAAATTATGTCCATTTTACTTTTAGTTTGGGCTCTCTGTTTTTCTGGGAATGCAAGAGAATTAGAGGCTCCCCTACACTTGATTAGAAGAGAGATTCAGAACAGTCTGAGTGTTGCTGGGAATGCAGCTACTAGGAGACAGGGAAAGATGAATTTTATGCAACTGGAAATTAATGACCAGATGGAGGAAGTATACCTACTGGCAGGCACAACCCCCTCAATATTTCCTTTGGTGATGATTAATAGTATTGTAGATCCAGATTTTTACAGCTGGAAAGGACCTTATAGGTCATCCAGACTAATGCCTCTCCTATTTACAATTGAAAAAAGTGAGTAATAGAGAGATGAAGTGACTTGTACATGTTTACAGTCAGTTAGTAGCCTCTTAGGTACTACAACTCATGTTTATATTTCCTGAAAATGCTATTTCCTGAAATCATTAGGCTGCTGTGCCAAGTGATTGCAGTGGTCTTCTATCCTGTGTTTGAGATTGCACTTCTCTCCACATTTAGATGCCCATTTGCAACAGGATGATGGTTTAACCTCAGCACGGAAAGGAATAATTAAGCTCAGTTTTCAGATTTGGTGAGAATATTCATTTACTACTACCATCCTAATTCAGTTTGGTTTCTAATAGATTCCAAAATATAATTTTTAAGATATAAATTTACTTCTTGCCCTTCTCAGAAAATATTTTATTCTTTTTCCTCTAGCCCACCATTCTCTCACAAACATAGAACAACTGAAGACCTGAAAGTTCCAGCATCAATTTCTCCTTCTTTAAAGTTTAATGCTTGTCAGACTGCAAGTTCCTTGAGAATACAGACCAAGTCCTTAAAGTTTATATATTTTCCACTGCCAACCACAGTTCCATGTACCCTAGATATTTAATAAATCTTTGATAAATGAAAGGGAAAAGGTAGCAAGATAGATAGATAGATGAATACACATATGCATATAGGTAGATGGATACATATCTATGTAGATGATTGGATAGATGGATGGATCTATATAAATAGAGATCTATATGAATGTACCCATATGTAATATATATGAATGTATATTCATATATAGATAGCTCTAGATGGATAAATGTACATATATTTATGGATAGATTTATATAAATAGATGGATACCATCTATTAATATAGATCCATTCATCTTTATATGTCCTTTTATGTATGTATATCTGTAGAGAAACATATAGAGAGATGGATAATAGATTGACAGATCACATTTGTATATTGACATAGATATCACACAAACTACTATAAAGTTTATTACGACCATCATAAGATCATTACTACCAGGTATAAATTTTAACAGTCTCCCATTCCTAAACTCCATACTAAGAGGCATGGATTAGGTTTAAAAGAAATGCTACTTTTCACCCTTAAATTATTTGTTAAGGGACAGAAAGTGGTATGGCAGAATGTATATTGCTATTCTAGGATCTCTAGCAATGAATCATAGAAATATAGAAATTCTGATTTGGAAGGGACTTAAGAGATCATCTAACCCTCCCCCTACCTGAGCAATAATACATTTTATAATATTCTTCCAAGGGAGTCAATCTCAAGTTACTGAAAAGCCAGAATTTACCACAGGAGCCTATGCCACTTTAGAATATTCCTAATTGTTAAGAAGTCTCCCCTGCCTTAATTGGCCAAAATCTGTGACTATTTCTTCAGGGTAGTTCCAGTTCTTCCTTTAGGAGTCAGGAAACATAAGATGATCCCCTTTCCACAGCCCTTCAAAGACTTAAATACAGTGATCATCCTCCCTCCACCCTAATTCTTATCTTCTCCATGCTAAAGGACCATATTCCCCTGAAAAGCCAACAATCACAAGTTCTCTCACCATTATTTGTTAGCTTTTTCTTACTGCTTTGTATCAACCACAAATTAGATAAGCATGCCATCTATACCTTCATTCATATTCTTGCTAGAAGTTGGATATATAGTACATGGAAAAGTACAAGTCTTTGGATTATTCCACTAGAAATAACTCTACAAATCACCACTGACACTTTAAGAGTTAAGCTTTAGATCTGATCATTCAACCAGATTTGAAATCACCCTAGTATGTTATCTAGTCAACATCTCTCCATCTTGCTTATAAGAATTTCATGCAAGTCTTTGTCAAATATTTTGCCAAAATCTAGGCCAACTATACTATTTTTTCTTTGCATTGCACAATCTGCTATTCTAGTAACCAGATAAAAAGAAGAAAGTTAGAGTAGTGTGGTAAAATGAAGCCATACTATATCTTTGTAAATGTAGCTTCTGTTATCTAGATGCTAACTCACCACTGCTTTAATAACACAGTCTAGAAATTCCTCAATAACCAAAGTCAAACACAATGGCCTACAGTTTGAAGGTATTTTGACCCTCTCTCTCTCTCTCTCTCTCTCTCTCTCTCTCTCTCTCTTTCCCCTCCCTTCCCTCCTCCCTCCCTCCCCCTCTCCATTTCTTTCTGTCGTTGTTTCTGTCTCTCTCTCTCTCATACATAACCCAATAATTACCCCCATTTTATAGATGAAGAAATTGAGGCAAAGATGTGTTAAATGACTTGCTCAGAGTTACACAATTAGCAAGTGTCTGAGGCTGTATTTGAACCCAGGTTTTCCTGACTCCAAACCTGATGCTATATCTACTACGCTACCTACTTGCCCGTCTTAGTCACCAAGGTTCCCAATCTAGATCATTCTTAACTCTTCAACCTCCCTCAAGTCACAAATTTAATCAGTATCTATTCTACCGTACTATCTCTTGAAACTGTTCCTTTGCTCCCACTCACAAAGCCACCACTCTAGTTCAGGTTATCGTCATCTCTTACCTAGACAATTAAAATAGTTTCCTAACTTGTCTCTGCTTCAGATTCTCCTTTAAACATCCTCCTTTAAAAATTAAACTTTATTTAAAAAATTAGCAGGTAATTATTTTCTCAACTGCCTGCCCAACCCCACACAATTAAAAAATGATAAGACAAAAAGTAAAAGAAAACCTTCATAGCTATTGTTTTTAGGCAAGCAAATTCTCCCATTGTTCATGGCCTAAAATATGTTTTACTTTTAACCTTGTGTCCATCATGCTGTCATTCAGTGGGTAGCATGCTTCATCATCCGACATCTGCAAGTATGGCTGGTCAATGTATTGGTCAGAATTCTCAAGCCTTTCTTAGTTACTTTGTCTCATAATGTTGTTGTTGTGTAAAATGGTCAAAGGTTTCTGCTTAATTCTCTCTGCATTAGCTCATACAAGCATTCCTAGGTTTCTTTGAAATAATTCATTTTGCCATTTCATATTGTGCAACAATATTCTATTATTAATAATTACATAACATAATTTGCTTAGCCATTCCTCATTAAAGAGATTAGTTTCTAGTGTTTTTGCTACTTCAAAAAGAGCTGTTACATATGTTATTTTAATTTATCAGTCCTTTTACTATTTTTTGATCTCATTAGAATATAGACTTAGTAGTGAT